TAAATGTCTTCCTCTGTTGGCTGACTTATGAAAAGGTAAGAATGTATTACTTTATTTCTTCATTCTTGAATGGAGTTCTTCCATTCTGTCATGGATTTTACAGGCATGAAACATTTCTTGACATTACTGGAATCCATCTGCTTCATTTTGGTGGGGTTTCTTTCATTTCAGTAAATTACAGATTGTAAATTTGGAGGTTCATATGAAAGTTGTGTGTAGGTGGGAGGAAGATCATCTATTTGCAAGAAGAATAGATGTCTCTGAATGTTGAAATGTGTGGGGATTGTAGCTTTTGTGTCAAAGATAGTAAAAACCTCATAAAATCGGCTTTCTGAAGTGTTTTTTGGAAACCTTTCTCCTCCTTGTAGATAGCTAAAATAAGATTAATAATTACAAAAAACTTTTCTCAATTTTGTAAAAATCAATTAATTTTGTAAACTTGAAAAAAAGTGTTAAGCTATTAATATGCCTTAAATAAATACGTTACAACTTCATGGCTAGGAAAAAATCCTTATTTATAAGGTAGTGCCTGCAGTCCATAGGTAGTTAAATTTCCTTTAGAATTTAGTGGTCCATCAAGCCTGAGAGTTGCATTCATTTTTAAAAGGCATCAGTTTAAACTGATTTTAAGCCAATCAGAGCTGTTGGGCAGGCTTAATTTTAAAAGTCTTGACCTGTTGCTATGTCTGAAATGTCTGTGAGCTGAGAAGTATCATGGAAATGGGGGTAATTACAGTAAGGGTTAGGCTGAAAGTATCTGAATGTAACATGAACTGCAGGAGGGCTCAAACTTGTTTCTTTCTAAAAGTAGTTATCAATCAGCTAGGATACAGTCTTTAAGTATTCCCGTTTCATCGGTATTTTTTTTTCTCTCATACAGTTCAAATGGTTTATTTATTGTCTGTGAAAGCCTTTGCAGATTAAGATGATTCTTTTAAAAAATAAGTTTATTCACTCTTCATTCCATTCAAGGAAGAAGAACGGAAAAGGGAACAAGATGAACAGAAGAGAAGAGAGAATGAGATGGTTTTTAAAGCTTGGTTACAGAAGAAGAAAGAACAAGTGCAAGAAGAAAAGCGAATTCGTCGTGCAAAGGAGCTAGAAGACTTGAACAGCAAAGTAAGATCTTCCTAACGTAGGACTGGGATCTACAGTGCTCATTAAACAGGAAAACCAAATACTCAGCCTGTGTTCTTAGCTAAGCATATGAAAATTTACAGTGATAGGAAATGGTTTGGTTACATTGTTTTCAGGGAAGACCTAGATTGACTTGCATGTTTAGGATTATTCTGCTTGGCAGGGTGCTTGTGTCATAGAAGCTGGATATATGAATTTACTAGCTATAAAATCACAGGAGATACAGCAATGCTCCTTTTTGTCAGGAGAATGACTTGAACTCTGCAGTGAACAAGCAGCCAGAAACGCTTTGAAGTGTGTTCTTTACCATCGAACTCCTTGGCAAGCAGCTAATGCACATGACCAGAACCTTAAGATTCAGATGCTCTGTTCTGAAGTTCCTTTGTCTTGCAGCAATGGGCTTGAAAAGCTAAATTCAGTATTTTTTAAAACATACCGCTTTGAATGCTCGCTTATGTATATACTCTATGCCAGATTAGCATATGTTCTAGTTTGCTTATAAAGTATGTTTTGTGGATGGGAGATGCAAGCAGAGTTCAAAAAATTATTATAAAGGTCATTTAAGAATAAGCCTTGTGTATCTATGTCTCTTTTTTTTAAATAGGAGAGGAGCAGGAATCCAGAGGAAGCCTTCAAGTTATGGCTTAAAAAAAAGCATCAAGAACACATGAAAGAAAAACAGATAGAAATGTTGAGACGCCAAGCTGAGGGAATTGCCTTTTTTCCAAGAACAGAGGAATGCAACAGAGCCTTTAAAGAGTAAGGCCATCCCTAGGGTATCATATTTGAAAACTTTTAGTCTCTCAATCAGCTTAAGACTGTAGTATTTTCATGGTACATCTTTACTGCTGAAGTCTTTATTGGTTCATTTGGGTTTGGTTTTTTTTGCATGAATATGCCCCTCATAAACTTACACCTTAGCAAAAATACATCAGTTCCTTGATGTTGTTTGTTCACTGTTGTGAAATTACTTGCCAGAGCCTGAGCTGAAATAGTGAATTGCTTCTGCTGAAAACAGGAGATCCTTCTCCCCTACTCCTTTTTGCCTGTTCTGGAGCAAGCTTGTGTTGATTCAGTTCATTATCCAATAAAATGATTTTTTTTTTCCCCTCGAGTCCATGAGTTGAATCAGCTCAACCTTCTGCTGAGGGGGAGGTAAAGGTGGGTGCAGAAGCAGAACGGGGGTAGAAAAGTAGCATTTCCCATGCTTAGGAGCAGCAGGCTTTTAGATTGGCTCAGCCATGACACCGAACTTTATCCTACAGGACAAGAGGACTCTAGTTAAACGGGGGCAAGTCTCCTTTGAATGGATGACGTAAAGCTTTCAGTTGCAACTGCCAGTACCTCTAGTCCTGTTTCTCTCTCCACAGATGGCTAAAAAGGAAGAGAGAAGAAAAAAGAGCAGAAGAACTAGCTGCTAAAGAGAGAGCAAGGCAGCTTAGATTAGAAGCCAGAAGAGCAAAACAGATGCAGAACATCCGCTGTATTAGTTCAGAGCCTAAATCCTTTCGCTTCACAGACCATTACAGTTGAAGTTTGATGTAACCAGTGAGTTCTCAGTGGCAACCCTCTTAATTTTTACGGCTTGAGCTTTTGCTCTTCACAGCTAATGACTTTTTGTGATGTTTTTGAAGTCATCAAGCAAGTTTAACAATTACCTTCACTGACAATGATTTTACTATCTATCTATTTATTTGTAACCTTGGTGAAAAGCCTGCTTTTATGTCTAACTCAGGGATCTTCTTCATTTGACCAAATCTAAATGAGCGTGAGATCTATATGTGAGGGTGGCAAATACACATTCCTGTCTTCACTTTATACTCAACTCTACCATGAATTCCTGGATGCAGGCTATTATGTAGAAAGTTGAATTTTGTTGGATTAATAGTGCTGTTTGCTGCTGCTTGTGATGAAGACTGTACAAGGTGTTATGTTGTTGGAAAATGCTGTTTCTTGTACCACTTTCTATTGATCTGTTGACCAGCTGTAATTCTGGCTAGACCAGAGGACTGTATTTTAGTTCAGGGAAAGTGGTTAGTGAAGGCTATGATGTATGTGCACATGCACATTTCTGTGACTCATATTCAGTAGTTTTCTATTTCATGAAATTAAAACGTTGTGTGAATTATGTCCTCTATCAATATCAAGGAAGCTGAAGTCCTTGTATATATGTCCATGTTTGCTAAATTTATTATAATAAACTACATCACTGTACGCAGCTAAATTGTGAACTCTTGTCAGAGAACAAGGTCACTCATGAAATCGCAAAGTTAGTGCAAGATGAGGAACATTCTGTCCAGCTCTGTGTGCAACAGATTTCATGATCTGGCATTGTTCTTACATTTTTCCACATTCAAAGTATTCTCTTTGTAGTAGGAAGTACTGTAACAGAAGGAAGTGCAGTAGATGCAAAGCAAATTTGCCATTAGCATTTTTCTCTTACCGTTTTGGAGATAGTTATAGGCATGTAACTGATGCTTGCCTGGAAAGTGCTGTGTTGCAGCTTTTACCAGCACAGATAAAGGGCAGGGCTGTGGAATGAAGATTTTACAAGCTGAGAAACATGAGTAGCTGGTGCCTTCCTCCTTCGTGTACCTTCCCCTGGCACCAAGGGCAAGAAATGCTGCTTGTGTCTAGCAAGGAAATGCAGGGGGAAAGTTTGCAAAGGTTCATATTTCCCTAATGGTAGTAAGCTACAAAAGAAGTATTTCTTGGTTCATTACCTGAGACCAGTAGAGTGAAGGGTTTTACAAGTTCAATGTCCTATAGTTCCTTCTATGCTGCAGAGAAAACAAGGTCAAAAATACAGCTACATTAAATGCAAAACTGCAACTTGAAAGCAAGCAAAGAAAGTTTATTGTAGTTTTATTTATGCAAACCAAAGCATAGCCAGCAACAGCAAGAACTTACACCATGATCACAATATGTAAGTTATGAGATTCAAAGGAAAACTGGGTAAAAGTAACCATTTCAGAAACCCTTTCCACAAACTAGACAGCTACGTATGATAAATTTGGGAATAAAACTAAGAAATTAAAATGCATATTTGCATCCTCCTACCATTCCTCTTTCCAAAGAAGCCTATTCAGGTTGCAAATGTATTTAGCACATTATCTGCCAAAATGTCTCTTCAGACCTACATCAAGATTATAAAACCATACAAGTAAAAAAAAAAAAGTAGTATTTTTTTACCAGTGCCTGTACTAACTTAGTGCTTATCTTCAACTTCCTATAACACCCAGGAAGACCTTGAGCAAGGACTAAGTTCTAATGCTAGGTCAAGTTTCAACACTATATACTAAAGGAGGTGTATCAGTCTGTCTTTGCTGAGGATCAGCTATGCAACGGCTTCACTCTAGAAGCTAAAATAGATGGAAAAGCTGTTATTTTAGCTTTATGGAAACAAAAGAATAATCTCACCCTGCACAGTTTTCCAGAATCCATTTAAAATCAGTTGCTATTTATATATTATAGCTAGAGTTCATCAAGCTCTTTCCCCTTCTTGCCAGGAGGGCTGCAACAATGTATATGCTTGCTCTTTCAAAACTTTGAAGAATCTTTGCATATATTCCCTTTCATTACTGAATTTAAAAGGCTGAACATAGGCTTGGGGAAGTTCACCACCTTGGCTGAAAGTAAAAAAAAAAAAAGCATGGAGCTGACCATTTTCCATTATCTTTTTTTTTTTTTAAACATAACCTATCAGCACTTCATTTACTTTGGTATAGTTACGCTTTTGTCTCCCTCTAAAGAGAAATCCATTGAGATTTGCTAATAAGACTGTAAACCTTAAATAGTCAAGGACATCTCTATGCTCTACACATTTTTGCTCTCACCTTTGTAGAAGAAAGTAAGTAGATTTCCAAACTGAAAAGTAGTAGAAATATCCCAGAGGCTAAGGAAATCCTGTCAGTCCCTAACTTCAAGAGGTAGAGAAGCAGAAACCGCATAATTTCCAATGTTAAACCCCACCCATTATGGGAAGAAACAGGGAAAAGGGAAGCCTGCTGAAAAAAAGCTGAACATCAACTAGTGTGTTTCTTCAGAAAGAGCGCATGTGCAGTTGCATTGGCAGTGCTTTTAAAGGGCTGTCAGCTCTCCTTGACAGCGATTGCAACAATTGAAAGTTACATCTTCGTATCTTGTATATGGGTGAAACCTTCCAATATTCTTTTTTGTGGAAAGGAAGGAAGATGGAGAAGTCTCAGAAAAAGAAACTTCTGTTGGTCCTTCTGTACGTGCAGCTGGATCCAGTACACGTAGCACCTAAGGATGGAAAAGTTGAGAATGAAAATATATCCGTTAAGTTTAATGGGGTTTATCCTTCTCTAACAGCTAGGAAGAATTTCTGCTCAAAAGAGTTTTCTCAATTTTTTTTTCCAAATTGAAGACTAAAAATCCATCTATCCAGACCCTCAATAGAAAGGCATTAAGTACTGTTTATAAATTGTTAAGTGTCCATCAGAAAATCCAAAGTATGATTTTACTGAGAATAAAAAAATTCTTCTCTTTCTAGCAGAGGTGAGCAAAACCAGGCAATAACACCACAGATAACTAGGCACCGTGAGCCTCCTGCTGTCAACTATTGCTCAATTGCTTCCAGACTAAACTGTTAGTCTAATTTGCTATTTAAACATCAAGCTTCCTGCAGTGGAACCTTATCTTGAAAGACAGCCATACAGCTTCTCTTCCCTCTGTGTTTCCACCCACTTTCAACAGAACTGATTTTTAGGGCAACAGAAACTACTGCTGAAGAGTTATGACTTATTCCTACCCGAACTAGGTCTCTTCCCCCACTCAGTTTTCAAAGTCAATTAAGTATTTTCCGTTGGCTTCCTCCTGACACACTAACTCTAAACAAATTTTGACCCAGTTATTTGCGGTGCTAGGGACAGACAAGGAAACAGTATGTATCATCATATTATTTTTGTTTTGCTTGTTTTTCCAGTTTTGTCTTTTTTTTTTTTTTAAAGACAGAAACAGACAGCTCTATTCAGCATGTTTCCCCTGCACAGAGTTTCTTAAAAAAGGCAAGATATTAAGCAGTTAACACAAAGCAACGTGCTTCTTCCTGGAAAGACGACTCTGTGCTGACAGATTGAGATATGTGAAACAAGGTTCTCACCTTTTCAGCCATTTTCTCAGCAGGGGTATTGCAAAACTCCACAGCTGTTGAAGTCTTTTTTGGACTGTTAGTGCCAACATTTCCAAGAAGATGTGAGCTTACAGCTTTGGCTAGCTTACAATTCACAGCTGCTAGCTCTGTTGTAGTATAAGGTTGGGCACTAGGGTAGTATGTCTGTTGTCTCCCCCATTGAAGAGAAACCATCAGCTCCTCCAGCAGCCTGTGCAGAAAGGAAAAAGCGCCCTATTAGTGGTTTTTGTAGTCTATACTATTAGCACACAGCGTACTTCAGAGGAGTCGTCTCTTCTGAAGACTTACTGCACAAGCCAAATGTTAACCAAAAAGGGAAGTGTTTAAAAACAAGGGGGCAAACAGGCCATTCTCCAAGGCAAGGCCTCACCAACACAGAATTTTAATACTGGTAAAACTTATTTTACATCTGGCAGGACAAGCATTAAAAAGTCAATGTAGGTAGAAGAATCTGTATGTTTTAGAAGGAACAGAGGAGATGAAGTCAAACCAGTAACTGATTAATACAGAAAGCCTGAGGATATGGGGGATGTCAGTTCCGCAGCATAGGATGCCTAACACCTCACACCTCCAGGGAATGATGAAGAAAAATAACACTCCTTTGGCTCTTTTAGCTCTGAGACTGAAAAGTGGCTACTATCCATCGGCATAATTAATTTTCATTGAATATCACCAGAACAGGGGAAAGTTATCTGATTCTTCTGTGGCCTAGAATAAACTGACAGAAATTAAACAGTTTGCACAGAGGTAGTCTGGATTAGAAAAAAATCATACTTCTGTGTATCAATCATCTCTTGACGGAACTGATCACGTTCATTCAGTAAGTCCTGGATGGCACTTTGTGCATCTCTGGTTTGACGCTGAAGAATTGCTCTGGTATTGGTTAGCTCATCAGCCATAACCCTGCAAAAGAAATCTCCAGTCAGTAGTGTAAGTGAGCAGTTTGAAAGTCACCTTCATTCTACTACAGAGTCTACTTTGTCAGCTCAAACTAAGTATTAAGCTGCAGGGGCAGCTGCCCCTAAGCAGGGCTTATATCAACCTTACTACAAAGGACATGTATTAAGAGCAATTTCTGTTCAACTGCAGTCAACACAAGTGCAAGATTATGACGTTCCAACTTAAAAAAATCTTGTGTCACTTAATATAAATCTAGTAACAGACATTTAAAGACACTTTGAGTAAGTGAACATGGTGGACAAACATCCTGATAGATAAATACATTTTGTTTTACTAACACAGTTTTCACAAGTATGCTATAATCACCTTTTCATACTCATCTCTAAAGATGACAGCTATGGCTACAGACTGCATTCATTCAACTCTGCCTTTCTCAAGGGCAATAAATAGATGTTTTATGTGCCAGATACAAGCATTTAAGAGTTACAAATGAGACAACTGTTGTCATATGTTGCTATGCCATGAGACTTGGCACTGAGCCCTCAAGCAGGTATTTCGAATGTCTGCGATAATGCAAATGCAAAAACCAGAATGACATTTAAACAACTACCAGTTAGAAATCCGAGATCTCAACGAACCAGGATGTTATAATATCGAAGAGTGTTACTCTAAGCACATCACCACACTGTCGTTCCTAGAAGGGACTTGCACCCCTGATCTCAGAACTCCTGTTAATGCTAAAGAAACAAGTGAAATCAGGATAGTAACACTTGCCTACCTAGACTATCAACAAGTACTTACATTCACTCAATATGCTGAAACTTCTTAAGACCATCAAATTAAAGGAAGGACACTGTATTCTCTTACCATTTCCTTCAAGCAGTAGAGGCCTTTTTGTAATATGCATTAAGCACCATAATTAAAATTGAGTTAGTTATATCCAAGTACAGTAAAAGATTAAAAGTCCTGGAACACTAGTTACATTATCTGGTAAGACAACTACACTCATAAAGTTAGAAGTCTAATCCATTGTCAAATGAGATTTTGACATTCAGAGCAGCTTAATATTTGCTCCTGACTTTTGCTACCCATTATTTTATGGTTACAGAAGTAACAGCAGGGTTCTTAGCAGTAACACAATCAGTGTGTAATGAAGAGGTGCCCCTGCTCTTTCTTCTATACTGAGCTGCCCTTCCCAGTAGATCCCTCAATCACTGTAAGCAGACTTCTTAACCAAACCAACTTCACACATTGATGACTGTATCGTACTTGGGGGATGGGGATGAAAATCAAGCTAGTTACCTTTAAAGACAATTCAATCCTCGAAGACATTTTTAAACCCCAAACCGCACACAGTCTATCAGAATTAAGAACTTCTTGGGCTATGTTGACAAGAACTGTAGTTAAGACTTTAGGAGGTATAGGACCCACTGTATTACCTTTGAAAAGCAGAACTGTTCAGATTTACAAGGAGCTTACTTTCTTTGTACCTTTTCTGTATACTCAAATTCCATAGTGGATGTCAGTATAGCTGTTGTGGCTGTTCTCTGTGTATATAAGCACATTACCAGGCCTTGCAATGGGCGTATGTAATGAAAGACTGAAGGATAATGCTGTTGTAACAGCTCTGTAAGAAGGAATACCTGCTTGCTAGGAATTTGCTTCGCCACACATCACACTGTATAGACATGCGCTCTAATTGTTCAGACAACTGAGACATATTCCGTCCCAGGACTTCATTTTCTAGGATTAGCTGATTTTTTTCACGAGCCATCCGTTCAAAGTGATACTGCAGATCGTCCCCAACAGAAGCAACAAGTAATTTCTTCAGCTCCCGATTCACCTAGAATTAGACCACACTGTCTTATCAATATAGAATGAAAAACCTCCTACTTCCAGAATGCAGTGAAGTTATTGCAAATTGCTAATAATAAATTGCCTTTCTCTTTCCAGAATTTGACACATCCAATGCAGAGTATATCAAGCCTCACAATCCACTCCAGTGAGCATAAACATTTGAGACTAATGCACATTTAACATTCTTGTTTAAATTCTAACACAGGCCAAATAGGAAGAATGAAAGCCTGCTATAAGAAACAAAAGGAAAGTTTCAGTAGTATTCAACTCCTGAATCAGTAAGACAAAGGATTAGAAAAGACATCCACAGATTATATGATGTAGAAAAATATAGTCACCCCTTCTGTGGCATAACATTTTAAACTTAGTGGTTGAGTTGAGGAGCAAAATCTTTTCTCATGAAAGATATATTTCCCTGCATCCCTCCAATGTTTCTCCTGGCTTCATGCCTTTGATACTTTTATCTCTGGTCAGAGAAGCAGCACTGGAGTACTTAGACCTACATCTACTCTGTATCTTAGCCAATAAGTTTCAAGAGGGAAACTATTTGTTTCAAGGCTAGAGTGTCACAGTAGTTCTCTTTGGCTGCATTCATAAACTGTCTATATAAACCAAAGCAGCTCAGCTGTGAGAGAAAAAAACCTTTCTTTTCTTACCTCTGTCTGTATGCGTAGCTGATTAGAGAGACCTTCCTTATCCTGTAACAACCGCTTTTCTGAATTCTTCAGCTTTTCAATTGCATTTTTCAGCTCTATCTGTTCTTTCTTGGGATCTGCGGGTCCCTCTGACTGATGGAATGCATCTCCTTTATGTCCCACCGATTTAGCTACCTTAGCATTTTTAGTTGGAACAACATGGGTGATAGCTGCTTTGGGGACTAATATACGAATAGCTTCAATCTCCACTGATTTATCAGCATGTATTTTCCCTAGCTGCAGAACTCCGGGGCTCAGGGAAGAGACTGTCTTTTTATGTGGGCTGTGATGGATGTGATGGTTTGTAGTGCTGGCTCCAGTGATTACTTCCACTGACTCAGTTGTCTGCTCTGTTTCCATGCCATCTCCAGGTCCTCGGATGGGTGATGAGGCATCATCTACTAAAATTTAGAAATAGCGGAGGGAAAGTTTACCACCTTTCACTTTGTTATAGTCTCATTGTAACTCTTCACTTAATTCCTGCAATTTTAATTGCACACTGCGTGTGTAAAATAGTCCTTTGCAGCAGCAATTATCAAGCACAAGTTAGAAAAGTCCTTACTCAAGTGCATACTGCTCATTAACACTAATAGTACAAGACACAAATGTTGATCTGGATTGTATTAATCTTAATTTCCTGCTGCCATGCAAGATTAAATGCAGACACAAAAAAAAGCTAGTACAGAGAAAATTCGTGACAATATTACTCATGGGTTGAAAGCAAAATCAGGTTTTGTGAGCTGACAGAATCAGAACAGTCTCATTTTAAAAGCAAGAATTAAATGAAAAGCAGCTATTAACTACATAGCTACTAACACCTTAAGAAGTTTATCAGACTTTTAAGTACTACCTACCATGATTTTTAATTGTCCAAGTGAAGGTTTAAGAAAAGCCCATTCTGCTTCATTTCTAATCAATAGACTGCAGTATTCCCAGTAATGCTGCATTCTGCTCTGAATTCCCCAATATGCATGATAATGTTTACTGAAATTAATTTTATTTAAGTTCACTAAGTTTTCAGCTGAATGAAGTATTATTGTAGTAAAGTTTCCTCACAATGGGTGCAAGAAGAAAGTTTCTTAGAACATAGCTACACATACTGCTTTTTTCCTCATACTGTGGGCAGTAATGTGAGCCTGCATCCTCTATCCAAATAATGATGTTCAAAAATGCTGTGGTAGCACTATTATATTGCACTACTTTCAAGTTGGCTGAATCAGTATCAGCAGGTTCTAAATACTAGAGGAGCACTGACAGAAAAGTGTACAGACACATGACAGTACCAGTAACAAACCTGTTTTTCAATACAAAGCTGGATTAGAAAACCACATTCAATTAACTGTTCGATCCAGGCAGCTCTGGTTTTCACTTCAATAATGAAGTCACATAACACCTTCCTAATAGCTACGTAAAAGGAGTAAGTATAAATGAATGGAGTCTGGCATACAGTGTAACTCTGGTCTTTAGAATTTACGTTAAAGTACTTTTAACCCAGTCTGCTTAGATATAATGTAAACCACCTACCTTTTTCTAGAGATGTCATTTTCTCTTTAGCAGTCAGCTCTTCCTAACTAGATAAGTCTGAGGAGGAAAGTGGGGGGGAGGGGAAACTTTAGCAAGGTAACAGTGACAGTTAATCTCAGATTACCCTATTTTCTAGGACAAACTCTAAACTCCAGTTCAGTAGCACAGTGAAAAAAACACACTGAAACAAAGGAAAAAAAACCCCAAATTATAAAACCCACACCAGAACCCAAAGAATTAAAAGGAGAAGGCTTGTTAAGACTTCTGACACTTGTTTCTTCTTTCACTAAGAACCGGACTTCAACTCCTATCTCTTGCTCCCCATCCAGCTCCAGTTTCCATTCCTCAAATTTCTCTTTCCAGTCCCCCTCCTTTTTTCAGTGAGCCCTCATCTTACTCTTTAAAACTCTCTAACACTCCCAGAGTACGGCTGCATGATCGTGCAGGGATAACCTAAGATCATCACAGAACTGCAAGAAAGAAATCCTAAACTGTGCTTCAGAGGTGAAGAGGAAACGATGGCAACTACACAACTGCACGATTCCTTCAGTGCTTTTTTGATAAAATACAGCTTTTTTGATAGAGCCAATTCCAAGACAAAGCAAGAGTCAGTGCCCTGAGTGGCTGCACATGCTTATTTTAAGCCAACAATAAAACTTTACCCTCAGTTTGGCCCAAACTGCCATCCGGGACGTTTTATCCCTTATCCACCAACGCTATTGATCATTGCTTTCTTTATCCACAGGTGCATCCACTCCCAGCTCTCCAGACCACTTGCCTCCCTTTTCCAGGGTCTGACACTAACTACATTGAGATTGGTAGATCCCTGGTTTGAGGTTTTTTTCCTGCAGTTCTGCCTGTTATTCAAGGGAGATCTCCCAAAGCCCTTGCTTCTTTTTTTACCACTAACTGAAAATGCTTAATTATAACTTTTTTGACTTCCACTACTACAGCTCTCTGCCCTGTAAAGATAATGGTTGCAGTGAGCACACCACTGCCAGCTTTCTAGATTATCTGTTTTGTGGAAGGTAGGTTTATCTTTTGTGACGACCAGAAGACAAAAGAAACAACTTTCCCTTCTTGAGTTCTCAAACTATAGATACAGAAACATCTTGCTACCTGTTGCTTCTACAGCTGGAGTTATGTTTTTACTCATTTAATAATCACGACTACTGTTCATTCATGTTTGATTGAGGATCTCAACTCATCTGGGGAAAATGAGGATGATCAAAGTGTAACTGCTCAGATAGAGGCAAGAATACTCAATAAAAGACTGATAATGGGCATTTGATCTTAGCTGCTTCATCCGAGACCATTTTCTGATGATCCTGCTCCTTCAGTGTTCATGTTATAATACTGTTTTTACTGTCCTGTTACTTTCAAAGTCTCAGTGTAAGTCTCTGCACACATCTCCCTTTTATTACATTCCAACAAGCAAAATTCCTTCACCGAATTGTTAAGCACTGCACTTCTCAGCTAACGTCGTGCGCTGTAGAACCCACACATGACAAACAACGCAAGGAAATCCTACATTAACACGGCTGAGTCACGATCCACGAGCGTCTCGGAAAACCAC